TACACGCTGTAGGGCTGACACACCCACTTTGAGACAAGTAACTGCTATTCAATCTATAACAGTGAAAAAAGTTTTTTGTTTTCAAATGCAAGCTATTGTGACACCAGTGAGTGAGTGGTGGCACTGGGCACAGTATCCACTGTGAGCCTGACACACCCGCTTTGAGACAACTAACTGCTATTCAATCTATAACAGTGAAAAAAGTTTTTTGGTTTTAAATGCACGCTATTGTGACACCAGTGAGTGAGTGGTGGCACTGGGCACAGTATCCACTGTGAGCCTGACACAGAAGCTGGCAGACAACTAACTGTTATTCAATCTATAACAGTGAAAAAGTTTTTTGTTTTTAAATGCAAGCTATTGTGACACCAGTGAGTGAGTGGTGACACTGGGCACAGTATCCCCTGTGAGCCTGACACAGAAGCTGGCAGACAACTAACTGCTATTCAATCTATTATAGTGAAAAAAATTTTTTTTTTAAATGCAAGCTATTGTGACACCAGTGAGTGAGTGGTGGCACTGGGCACAGTATCCACTGTGAGCCTGACACACCCGCTGGCAGACAACTAACTGCTATTCAATCTATAACAGTGAAAAAAGTTTTGGGGTTTTTAAATGCACGCTATTGTGACACCAGATAAGAGTGGCACTGTGAACTGGCAGAGTACACGCTGTAGGGCTGACACACCCGATTTGAGACAACTAACTGCTATTCAATCTATAACAGTGAAAAAAGTTTTTTGTTTTTAAATGCAAGCTATTGTGACACCAGTGAGTGAGTGGTGACACTGGGCACAGTATCCACTGTGAGCCTGACACAGAAGCTCTCAGACAACTAACTGCTTTTCCATCTATTATAGTAAAAAAATATATTTTTTTTTAAATGCAAGCTATTGTGACACCAGTGAGTGAATGGTGGCACTGGGCACAGTATCCACTGTGAGCCTGACACAGAAGCTGGGAGGCAGGAAACTGCAATTACATTACACACAAAAAAAAAAGCAGACTGATGTTCTAGCCCTAAAAAGGGCTTTTTGGGGTGCTGTCCTTACAGCAGAGATCAGATGAGTCCTTCAGGACTGTAGTGGACACTGTATACCCTAACCTAGCTATGCATTTCCCTATTTAATCAACAGCAGCTACACTTTCCCTCCTCTCACTAAGCATGCAGCTTGAGAATGAATGTAAAATGGATGCTGTCCAGTAGGTGGGAGGGTCTGCTAGGGAGGGTGTGCTGCTAATTGGCTGGAATGTGTCTGCTGACTGTGAGGTACAGGGTCAAAGTTTACTCATGACGAATAGGGGGCGGATTGAACCGCGCATATGTTCGCCATCCGTGGCGAACGTGAACACGCTATGTTCGCCAGGAACTGTTCGCCGGCGAACAGTTCGCTGCATCACTACCTCTTACTAGAGAGAATGGTGAGTTTGGCATGGCATACGCTGCTACTCACTGCCCAGCTAGGATTAAGAGTGGAGCTGGAGATTCTGGCTTCTGTATCTGAAGTTCAGAGCTGTTTCACTCACCATTCTCTCTATTAAGAGGCAGTTTTTTTTAAAGTGGCATCAATTGGATGAGATCTTGTTGCTTTCTAAGCGTCTCTATGCAGTCCCCAATATGATAGATAAATAAATTACAACCTTAACCTTAACGTCAAAAGATAATCTTTAATCTTTATTCTTAAAAAATCAGCTCAAAATTATATAGCTGTTAGAATAGTTAGAAAAAATTAGATAAAGCCCCTCTCCCTTTAAAACTTGCTAGTCAGAGGGATGCAAAGAAAAGAGAGCGTATACGACTCAAAATTAGTGCTAGTAAATAAAAACCATGCTTCTAAATCGCCTGGTTTGTTACACCGTTGTACGTCAAGTGTTAAGTGCCCAGTGATGGAATGCCCACAGTGTGTGAACCTTCTTCAGGGGTGTCACAAACGCACCCTACTCCAAGAATGTGCGTGTCGTAGTTGTGGTTAAAGTTCACTATTTGTCTGCACTAGACCGGAAATAATGACAAAATCCCCCTTTAACACCACCCACACTTAAACATAATAATATAACTATTACTATTTTAACGCTGCCACCACCAAGACAATTTATAAATGGGGTGCCTTGGTCCCCCAGGTAAATCAACAATAAAACCCACCAAATATTACTTAGTACAATATTAAAGGAATTACAAAAATACTAACTAGTTTTTTCAGGTAATGTGATTCTTAACCAGACAAAGGCAGAACTTAATAAATTAATGTTTATTATGAGCAAAAAATGGTCACAGTGCATATAAAAATATATGATAAACAAATTATTTACACCAACAACAGATAAAAACAAAAAGGATAAAATACAGAAGTCCTAATTACTCACTTAGGTTTTCAAAGTACAACTTCTGTCCTGGGGGTCTCTGGCAAGGAAGGATGATGGTGACTCACTCAAAATTAGATCTTGGCCCCAAGCAAGTACACCAGCACCCTTCAGGATCATTAGATATATACCCTGTGGTTTATCAAGTCTTGCCCAAGGGTGGAGTTAAGGCGTACCCATAGAGATACTAAGTGACTACCTCCTTTGTTCCAGAAAACAACAAGCCAAATATAAACTTTTGGTTTTATCTCCTCTACTGTACTTGCCACAGAAATAATAATTACTTCTATGAATTTATTATTTTCCCATTCCATAGACGTGTTGCACGCCCCACCCATGATCCAATAGGACAGACAGCATAATTCCTGTCACACAGTTTAAGTTGTGCAACTCATGTTTAGGCTTAATTAAGAGATTGGGCTTATCCAATTCCAAATATAATAAAAATGGGGCTTAATTATTAAACTGTCGGTAAGTATTAATGTTTCTCTTGGATAAAATACTGAAACACAAGGATCTTCATGAAACTAATCCCATTACCATATCAAATGATTGAACTATCCTTTACAAGGTACATGCCAAATGGATGAAGAGAAATTCAGACTTTTTCCAAGTGTAGAACCTCACACCTTGCAGAGCCTTGATTACTTCACATCCATATAGTAACATCCTTTTCGCATTGCTATGCCATTCACACTACCCCTTCTGTCATCTGACCTCTGTGGGTGTCCCAGCTTCAAAACATGTAACCCCTTTTGACCTCAACAATACCATCTCTGTATTTTGTGCCATTTACTACACTAATTACATTAAAGGATAATATTCCATAGAGTAATAATAAATTATGCACCCTTGCCGTGACAAGGGGGTCAAGAATAGACGGACCTAGTCTCCCTTTTATACCCTGTACCCTGCGTGAAAACCGTCACCTAGAGCCAATCAGTTATTGACACATCAGTTGGAGGTGTGAACTGAAGGATGGTGCAATCAGCTATGCAAAATGCCTCTTGAATGCGGACCAATCAGTGAGTAGATATTGCCTGGTCATTATACAAGCAGCCATGGAATACTTATGACAGCTATACAATAGATATGACAAATTATAGTGTATCCTAATGCTGTGATAACACTCATGACAGAATCAGGGATGCGCCTGCCTAAGTTGATACATTTTGTAGGAATATATTTATTTGCTACTGTATTAGCCCTTCAGAAGGGATGAAGTGTCAAATACATTTATATGTTTAAAATGCGTTTATATGCACGTTTACAGTGCCGAACTGAATCCTAGATGTATTACGTTCCAGCCTCTAAACCCATTCGGTGTGCGGCATATTACCTGTCTCTATGTCTCACACAAAACAGGACTGATAATGCAATAGCAGACAATAGGTATCTCAAAGCGTTTGATTTTCTGTGAGTTTTCAACATCTAAATCAAAATATGCCTATAGAGATCAGGAGTGTATTTTGTAAGTTTAACCCTTTTAGTGGCTCTTATTATTTTGTATTGTGTATTAAAGATGAACCTATACTGAGTCAAAACATTTTGCAGCTATGTGTTTATTGGCTGGAATATTAACCCCTTCATAGAGGTAAAGACTAGGTGCATCTTTATATTGTAATCCTTTATATACAGATTTAAAGTGACATAATAAGTCCCAAATGAACTGTTTTCAGGCCCTTTCCAGTAGGAGGCATATACATTATCGCTGTTCCTTAAATTGATTAAACTTGTATTTATCAAAATCATGATTTTTTTTGAGAATCAGTAAAAAAAAAACACTGTGTACAACCCACTGTGTTCGGTCCTGGAAGTCAGGTGTAGTAATAGCTCTCCCTTATAAGCACGATCCACGGAGCTGACACGAGACTGGGAGAACAAGAGACTGTGATCAGGGAGACAAATGCCAAGGTGAAATCACATATTGCTGGACTTAATTTGAGGACCTGTTCAAGTTATTCCTTGCACATTCACTACACTGCCTCATATCTGCTATTTGAATATATTCATTTTTCTCTACTCAAGAAAATAAAACAAGATACCAGCAGTTTGTGATTCTTCCCTATTCAGTCATAGCTGATCCATCATTCACAAGGAGCCTGATCCCTCCAGGGCAATTAAAGTGAGAGTGGCAAACAATCCACTCGTACCCAGTGAGTTGGATACCTAACATATCTTGCTTTTATTCCTATGTATCTGTTGTACCGATGTGTTTGTTATTTATTTTTAAGGTGATACACAGAATACTACAGTGAACACATTTACAATCAAGTATTCTTTTTTTTTTTTTTATAAAACAATATGCTTTGTGTTTAATCTTCTTTTGAGATTCCTGAACTGATGAATATATCACAATATAACTAAAAATGCCATTAATTATCACATCAGCTTTATTTTTATAGTTTACTTTATAAGAGCAATGTTACAATGCAATATTATTTTACTATGATGCAAAGAAAATACAATTTGATTCATCCAGTTTGAGATATAAGGGCAAATATTTCAAACATCTTAATAGAACATCATTGAAATACAAGTATTTAGAGATAAACGGTTTTAAAGCTCTCTCTATTTTTGAAAATGCGAGCATGAAAAATATGATGATAATATAGAACATCACTGCGTATTTTGCTTTCCCTAACTTCCATTCGCTCAGTAGAAAACCCACAATCTTTAAGAGCTCTTCTTAGGTCCTCTTCGCAAAAATTTAAGATATGATATATTTTATAATGTGATGCAATAAATGACCCAAATAATAAAAAGTGCCCTCCTAATTTAAGCATAGATGATATTATCTTTAGATTATGATGGTAACTGTCTGAGTCTTTTGAAATGGCACCCAGCATATACAAGTCAATCACACAATCTGCTTTTGGCAGCACAACAGGGTCAGTTGGATTTTCTTTGGTAAAAATCACACAGCAATATGCCTTTAATACATCTTCTTAGATCATCTTCTTTTTCAACCCACTTCTCACTGTAAAATATAATAACACAATTTTATAGCATATGATGTAGATATATGTAACTATATTTTACAAGAAAATACAAGAAAATATTTTGCAAGCAGAGTGGATACATAATTTAGAGGAAAAGTAAATTAAATATCAAAGGATAAAATATAATGTGTTGTAGTGTATATAGAGGATATTTGTAGGATTTAATTTATTTTTTGTAAAACACCCAATTAATAGTGCATTTTAATATGGTATTTTATTTTAAATATTTAAAAATACCTTACCAACAAGAACTTCTGCAATATCACTAATACAAATATTGAAGAAAATGGGTCTAAGTAATGAGTACCCCACTGGTAACAGCATCTTGCTTTGAATATACTCCATTGACTACAACCATCTGTTGCCATTCACTCAGCCACTGCCTTACCCATTTAACAATATTGGAATCCAAGCTCACAGATTGCAGTTTATTGATAAGCCTTCTATGTGCAACAGAGTCAAAAGTCTTACTGAAATCTGGGTAGGCAATGTCTACTGCACCACCCTGATCTATAATTTTTGTTACCCAATAAAAAACAAACAAACCAAAAAAACAATAAGATTGGTTTGGCATGATCTCCCTGAAGTAAACCCATGTTGTCTCTGATCTTGAAAACCATTTGATTTTAGATGTCCAACAATCCTATCCTTTAACATGGTTTCCATTATTTTCCCCACTATTGAAATAAGGCTTACTGGCCTTTAATTGCAGACTCCTACCTTTCTTGTGAATTGGCACAACATTTGCTAATTTCCAATATTCCTGGACTACTCCTGTTAACAATGATTGGTTAAATACATCGGTGTTCCTAGTACAACACTAAGTTCATTTAATAGCTTTGACTTATTGGTCTTTACTTTAGACAGCTGAAATAGAACATCTTTCTGTGTAATCACATGTAACAAATGACTCATTTTTGTTACTAACTTGTTCAGTATTTTCATCTGTAAATACTGAACAAAAATATTCATTAAGGAAGTCAGCTAGACCTTTATCATTTTCTGCATAACTTCCCTATTTTGTTTTTAGTCTAAGTAATCCTTGTTTTACTTTATTTTTCTCATTTATGTATAAAAAAAAATATTGTATCTCTTTTTTTTTTTTTTACTCACTGGGTTATTTTCTCTTTCCTCTCTTCTGTGTGTGATTTGGAAGTTCTTATAACTTGCTTTGCCCCTGTCTGCCTAATCTTATAGATCTGTCTATGATTACTAAATGCTAACTTTTAGTTTTTTACTATTTTGGTAACTTCTGAGGAGTACAATAGTGGTTTCTTCAATTTTTTTGTTCTTACTAACAAGCCTAATGTGATTTTCCGTTACCTTCAGTAGTGCAACTTTTAAATAATACCATTTCTCCTGGACTCCATTTAAACCGCTCTAGTCTGATAATGACTATTTTATGCAGATTCTAATTCTTAACTAAAAAGTCTGTTTTTTTTTAAATCTAAAAACTTTTGTTTTTGTGTGGTGTTACTCAGTCACTGTTCTTATATTAGAGGACCAGGTAGAGCCAAATAAACCAATAATACAAGTAAAAACTATGCAAAAAAAATAACAGAAATTATATAAATACAAGTAAAACAAAATCAATAAAATATAGCTAAAGCACACAAAAAAACCAAAGGAAAAATATATACTTAAAGTAAAAAGAGTCAATTTAGTGAAGATGATCTTTTCCTCAAAGGGTAGGCTTGGATAGAACTTCGTATAGTTGCTTGGATAGGTAAGTATACATGAAATAAAAAAAGAAGGCAAAATAGAGTCCAAGAGTGCAGTGAGTCTAAAAAATTGGATTATACAATACTAAGAGTATGGTAATAAACTCACATGGAATAGAGCTACAACCAGCTTTAGTTAAAACAGCATGCAATGGTATAGATCCCCACTTCTGGATATACAGGAATATCAGCTATTGTCCTCATTTACAGAATGGTCGACATGGAGACATGGAGGGAGACCAGATGAATAATGGAAAAATGCTAAATAGAGTTCTCTATATAAGTAAGTAAAAGGTGGTAATGAAATAGCCTTACTTACACTTTTCAGAGCTGTTTCTTTATGTGAGTTTATTACCATACTTTTAGTGTTGTATATGTCCCAATTTTTAAACCCACTGCACTTTTGGACTCTTTGGCCTTCTTTTTATTCCACGTATACTTACCTATCTGAGTAACTATAACAAATCCTCTCCAAGCCTACCATTTAAGGAAAATATTTTTTTTTGCTAAAAAGACTATTTTTACTTTAAGTATATATATTTCCTTTTGTTTTTATTGTGTGCTATTTTAGCTATATTTTAATGATTTACTTTACTTCTGTTTATACCGTTTCTGTTTATTTTTTGTGTTTACGTGTATTATTGGCTTATTTTACCTGCCCCTCTATTTTTTTTGCTTCATGCACATGTTTTTGGGTGTTTTGAGGGAACCCCACATTTCCAGGTCGACTGCCTTTAATTTCGTCTGTTTGTTTGCCCTGTTATTAAGTGCTTGCATATTTCTTTCGTTTTATTTATATTTGTTGTTTTTATATTAAACCACACCGACTGGTGATCACTACATCCTAATCTTTCACTTACAGTAATATCCAATAAAATATCTCAGTTTGTTAACACTAAATCTAGTATGGCCTAATTATGAGTTGGCTCCTCAACCACTTGTTTTAGAGATAATACCAGTAGGGAGTTTAGAATATGTGCACTCCTGGCACAATTGGCTATTTTGGTTTTCCAGTTCATATCAGGAAGATTAAAGTCACCCATAATGAAATCGTCACTCTTCAATTTTATCTCCTCAACTAGTAAATTATCTAACTCTTTTTGTCCAGAGGACCTATAAATTATACCTACATGAGTTACTATGTGATTACAAAATTCTAACGTAACCCAAACCTAAGCTCACTAATTTGTATTAGGATATATTTTATGATATTCTTTACACACACAGGGCTACCCCTCCCCCTTTCTTGCCTTCTGTCTTTTCTATACAAATAGTAACCCGATGTTGCTATGTTCCAATCCTTTTTCTCCTTATACCATGTCTCAGTAACAGTCACATAATCTACATTCTCAGTTGCCATTATTGCCACAACCATGCGAACCACCAGGTAGGGGACACTCCAAACTCTCTGAGGAAGTCCTGTTCAGGACGAAACGCGTTGGGTGGAGGGACCTGGCAAGCACCTTTTACTGACTCATTATTTGTATTTATTTGTATTTATTGTGTATATTGTTTGTTTTTGGGTTATTTGCATTTTTATCTGGCTTCTCTACAATTTGCCTTTATCTAAACGGCATTAGAAGAAGACCCAAAGTGTTTTGATATGCTGGATTTTTAACACTATCTAGTGAGTGCAACCTTAATAAATCGTGTGATTTTGATTATACTGGTGCACTATGTCTTGTGTCTCTCCTTCCTAATTAAGGTGGTAAAAGGAAGACTGTCAAGCTCCTTCGAATCATTTATAGATTTCTACATGCCTTCCATTCACTATCATTTTTTTAGTGCAATCTAATTTCAGCGCAGGTATTGGTGTCTAAATTTACTACATTATTTTTTTACTTCTATGTGTTTTTAAATTTTTAGATTGTATTTGCTTGTTGTTGACTAAGAAGATTAGAGGGATCTTCTTACAATCTAAATAGGGTAATTCTATTTTATATACATTTACCCACTGAGGAGCATGTGTGTTAGACTGCTTTGTTTATTTTGTAGTTAAAGAATCAATCTCTCCAGAATATCTCCAAGTACACACTTTGAAGCAGCACTTAGAGGAAGCATCCAAGCTAAATTCCTCTTCTCTTGTCTTGGTTCTCATATATATTACCACCTACATTCATTGACAAGTATCATTTCTTTACTATAAATGCTACTTTCAGTTATTGATCTCCCACAAAAAGACATTGCATCCATTAAAAGATTGCTCACCTGTTTCCTTCAAGTTCTGCAGCAATCTTTGCAGCATGAGGCCAATCCAAGGTATTCCTCTCCTCTTGTCTTGGTTCTCATATATGTTACTACCTACATTAATCGAACATTATCATTTCATTGCTATAATTGCTACTTTTCATTATTTACCTCCTACAGAAACACATTGAATCCATGAAAAGATTGTTCACCTGTTTCCTTCAAGTTTGACAGCAATCTTTGTGCATGAGACTAATCCAAGGAATCTTCTTTATTCTGCCATTTTTGCAGGTCCTTTAGACAGGGCTCATTAAACTCTAGAATAGTAATCTCTTTGAAGTATTAACAAAGTGGTAACAAGTGGAAAATAAAGGGGCCAGTAGAAATGTCAAAGTGCTTCAACTAAAAGGAACTAGCGATAACAAGACTATAAATAAAAATAATTTGGAAGTTTTCTTCTCCGTTTTAGAAAAGTTTGCCTAAATTTTAAAATGTTGTCAGTCCTACTACTGCTTCTTCACCAAAACCAATCCTACATCATGTGAATGGGTTACTATATATTTGAGGATTACCTAAAGAAAGGAGATGACACTCTCTACCAACATACTGACATGATCGTGTACCTACTATATACATACACATACACACACACATACACACACATATACATATACATACATACATACATACACACACACACACACACACACACACACACACACACCAAATAGCCTTGGCACTAACACCGATATTAGGTACGTGCATGGGCAAAGAAATTGGTTCGGAACGGCACTTCAGGAATTCCCTAACCCTTACTTACCACAACCACTTACACGTGTAGGGTTAGGGTTTAGGGGTAGGGGTAGATTCCTGTCATCATTGCCGTAATTTTCCCTCCTTCTCCTGTTTTGACACTTTTCAGAAATCGAGGCACTTCCGAAATTCGGCACTTCAGCAATTCGACAATTCTGTACTTCTGAATGTCCGAAATGCGTCCGAATTTAC